TATAAACCGCCTCCACCCCAGAAGCGGCTGCATCTCAGCACCGGGTGAGGGATCCCTGTATGAAACCAGGACACCGGCTCCTTTCTCCACCACGCTGTCCAGGGATGGCTTGGTCTGGCCACACGAGGCTCTCAATGGAACTGACCCCATCCCCACCCTGGCCCCCGGTGGCATTATTAAGTCCGCGTAGAGCTACATCATCGGTGGGAGCTACATTTTAGTGCAGACACTTATGGAGTTAGGTTGACCTATGCTGCCTTACATAGACCTGCCTGTAGTGTAGACCAGGCCTGTGTGTCTGTGCAGCGCCTAGCGTGACGGGGCCCTGATCTCGGTCACTGTGGGTCTGGGCAGCGCCCGGCGCGACGGGGCCCTGATCTCGGTCACTGTGTGTCTGGGCAGTGCCCGGCTCGACGGGGCCCTGATCTCGGTCACTGTGGGTCTGGGCAGCGCCCGGCCTGACGGGGCCCTGATCTTGGTCACTGTGTGTCTGGGCAGCGCCCGGCGCGACGGGGCCCTGATCTCGGTCGCTGTGTGTCTGGGCGGCGTCCGGCCCGACAGGGCCCTGATCTCAGTCCCTGTGCGTCTGGGCAGCGTCCGACGCGACGAGGCCCCAATTTCGGTCACTGCGTGTCTGGGCAGCGCCCGGCGCGACAGGGCCCTCGTGTCAGTTGGGATCTCCAGGTGCTACTATAATTTAATTAATAAGGTTTATGCACCTGTTGGGTAGCCTTGAGCCAGTCCCTTCCCCCTCTGTGCCTCAGCCTCCCCATCTGTAAAATGGGGATAGTGACCCTGGCCGTCACTGAGAAGTGCTAGGGCCAGTTGTTTTGGCATCAGTGCTGTCTGGCCCTCTGGCCCAAGGCTCATTTCTGACCTTGCCAGATCTTCTTCCATCGCTGGACTGAATCCGCCTCTCCCAGAGGCACTACCTGGGTTAACAGAAGAATTCTTTCATCAACCTAGCGCTGTCTACACTGGAGCTTAGGGCAGTTTAACTACAGCACTCAAGGGTATGAGTTTTTCACACCCCTGACCGACGCAGCTGGGTCGACCCGCCGTTCTAGTGTAGAGCAGCCCTCAGGCCCTCTGCAGACTCAGTCAGTGTTGGTCACACCCAGGGCAGCTCCCCCTTCTCAGAGCGACGGGCTCAGGCTGGCTGCAGACTCAGGCAGCGTCGCTGTGTCGCTCACACCAGGCCAGGGTTGGAAGGTTTTCTTTGCAACGCTGAAGGTAGGAAACTTCCTCTTTGCAGTGCAAGCCGAGATTCTACGTCACACCAGCCCCAGGGCCGGATCCAGACTGCACGTCATATGGACACCTCCGTGCCAGAGGGATGGTGGAAGATCATCCTAAAATTGTCAGTGCAGAGGCTGCCTGGGACTTGAACGCCCCGTCGGTTTCTCTGCGTGTGTTCTCAGCAGCACCATGGAGAGGCGCAGTGTTTATTACTGCAGTGAAGCCTGGTGGCTCTAAATCTGTTAGAAACAGGGCTTGTCAAAATTCTCTTTTCTAAGTAACTTGAACGGATCAGACAGATTTAAGCATTTTTAAAGATTTGGATCAATTGAAATGTGCAGTTGCAGGACGTTATGGGGGGACTGTCAGATTGAACGACGGTAGATGCTGAGATTCAAGAAGTTAAATCGATCTAATGGCATCCCGCTAACACGGGCATTACAGCGTGTTTTAGCACGTTAAGGTGGGACTCAAGTTCTCAAGCAGAATTTTTCGAGTTGCCTTTAAACTTCAATTTTCATCCGTGCAAATGGTTTTTCGTGGGTACACGGAAATCAACGCTTCCTGACATTACTGATAAAAATCTAACCCTTCCAAGCCCAGCCATAAGCCAGGTTTAGACTCTAAAACCCATCAGATCTCGCAACCCCGACACGCTGCTCCCACAGCCCCTTCACTTAGTGCCTTTCATTGGAAAAGGCTTTGCAAAATCTCCTGCCTGTACGGCCTTCAATAATCAGGAGTCACTGCAACCCAGCACCAAAATGCAGCCAACTCTAAGGTGGGACAAGGCAGGTATATAACAAGCACATGACACCGTGGTTTAGGACAGGAAGTGAAGAATACCAGATCTGAAGCTGCAAGGGGAGTTTAAAGAGGTAGGATGGAATCACCCTGGTTAGTAATTGGTCCGGTGACAGGGGCTGACGCCCTGCATTGTGCAAGGAGAGAGAGAGATCTTTACCTTTAAACGGCTCTGTACGCCCTCAATCTCGGTGTCTCTGGTTATGACTAATTTTGTCTCCAAACTTTTTGTGAAAAATACTTCACAATTCTCAGAGCATCCCACAGCAGCGTTCTCCTGGTGAAAAGTTCCTTTTTTTGGTTCAAACTGACTTTGCATTTAAGTGAATTTATCAGAAAAAATCTAAACCAGGGGCCTCCTTGCCTCCCCGTCTGCAAAGGGCTACCCCAACACAGCGGTCATGAGGATTAGCGGTCTGGGAAGCGTTTTGTAAATGTAGAGTCCTGTAGCATGGGTAAACAAAAATAATTTTCAAAGTAATTAAATGATCAACATGTTGCTTGACCTGAATGGAATTCCCCCCCCCCCCCCCCCAAATTTTTGTTTGGCAACATTTTTCAAAACTTCGACTTCTCTTCCTGATTTGGGACAGGGAAACCTCACAGATTTTCCCAGCCCAGACCTGTTTCCCACCCAGCGCTGAGAGTATGGTCTGTGGGATTGTTCTCTCCTGATTCTAACCACATCTCTTCCTACTCTCCAGCAACAAAGCCAAGCTGTTCGCAGCTGCTGCCCGCTGGCGGCAGCTAATCCGAGGCCGCTGATCAGGGGGGAAGCCGTGCAGATGCTAGAGAAGGGGTGGGCGGAGGGTGAAGCCCACCCTGAGGGAAGAGCCTAGAGGGCAAAGTACTAAAGCCAGCCACTGCAAGCGCCTCAGGAGCGGCTCACCCCCACTCCTCTAGCACCCAGGAGAGGTCTCGGGGATGGGTCACGCTGCGTGTGTATAGCCGGGAGCGTGTTGTTAATGCACCCGGGGAAGGACAAGGCTACCCTACATTCACCAGCGAGGCTGCAGCCCCCCCACGCTCGTTAGCCACCCCCCCCCCACTGCCTTCTCAGGCCCAGCCCAGCTCAGCCTGGCCCTCTCTAGCCACTGCTGCTCTGCGGTATTTGAAATATAGGAGGGGACAGACCACGGCCAGAAAGAAACCCGGTGATCACCCAGTCTGAGCTCCTGCAGACCCCAGGCCGGAGAACCCCAACCCAGCCATTCCAGCAGCCAGCCCATAGCTGGTGGTCGAGCTAGGGCAGAACTTGAGACGTGCTCAGTCATGCTGGAGAGAATCCAAGTGATGGAGAAATTCCCCTCCCCCCCTGGAGGAATTGCTCCAATGGTTAATCACCCTCATTATTAAAAATGTCCCCTCGGAATTTGTCTTATGTCAGCTCCCATCATTGGATCCCATTTTGCCTTTGTCCACTGGGTTGAGGAGCCGTCTACCCTCAGAAATCTTCTCCCCATGGAGTGCAGACAAACTGGGAAACCAAGTCACCTCCAAGTCCAACCCTTCCCTTGGCTAAACTAAATAGATTGAGCTTCTTTGGTGTCTCGCTAGGCGGCAGGTTTCTCAGTAACATGGAGCCACGCTAGAGGATGGTGGTTCAAAGCCTGCATCCCTGTCACAAAACCACAGCCCCGGGGGCTGACTCCCACTCCCACAGGACAGGCTGAAGGCTCACTGTGCTTTGGGCTCCAAGCCTTTAACTTTCACTAGCCCTCACCTCCTCTGCAGACGGTTAAGCGGAACGAGAACTAGCCTGCTGTGTGTCACATCCCCTCTACTGTTCCCAGCTGGTGGCGATTCTCCTTTGGCTCAAGGGACGGGGCTTCGGTGGCATGAGCCAAGTTCCATCCCCACCATCGCTGGCGCAGGGTGGAGCAGAGGCATGGGAGGGGATCAGCAGCCGGCGGGAAGTTAGAAAGGTTTATTTACAACAGGGATCATCACACAACACAGCAAAGCAACAGCACGGGGGGGCATGGGGCGCACACGGGATCACAGCACAAACACCTGCCGCCCACCGGGGCACTGAGAGGAACCAGATACCGCTCAGGGGCCAGCACTGTGGATGCAGCTACTGGCTTGACCTTGGAGTGAAGGGACCAGATCCCATAGCAGACAGGGCTGCTGAGGCAGACTCTAACAGCTAAATGCCCAGTTGCTGAGCTGGTCTGAGGCTCCTCCAGGCCAATGAATCAGGCAGGGGGCTTAGGGCAGCTGAGGGACCAATGGCCAAAGGTCTCCCGAAGCCCCGGGTGCTGCCATGAAAGCAGATGAGGGGGAGCGCAGGGGACGCTCCCTCAGCCGCCGCGACGTGGGAGATTTCGCGCACCAGCATTAAAAGCCGTTCAAGCCACTGGAACGGCCAGAGACTGAACAGCTGGCTCGTTTCACTGCCTCCAGGCACGAGCCGGAGGTTGGTGCCTTTCCCCGCTGTCTCTCTCCCGGGTGCTCTGACCAGGGGATTGAGCGCAGGGCAGCCTGCCCGCCTAGGCAGGCAAACTGGCCGCAAGGCATCCTCCCCTCTCGGCTGCCCCGGTGGGACGTGGTTAGCTGGGAGCGGCTGGTGCAGGGCGAGGGCTTGGCAAGATCAGACCGTGCCACAGCTTCTGGGGTAGCCCCGTCTCGAGCTGGCTTGGCCTCCGTGTTAAGAGGCTGCCCCCTTCCCCCCCCACCCACGGATCGCAGGATTCCAGCCTCCCAGGGGCTCTGCTGTGAGGTTGGAACAGCTGGGAAGCTGCCCGTGGGGGATGGTCAGGCTCCGAGGCCGAGGCTGCAGCTGTGAAGGGCTGGGATCTGCCCCGGGGTTTCAGCAGCCCAAGGGCGGGTTGAGGGGGCCCGGAGGATCCTCTCATCCCAGCTCGGCACTGTAGGCATTGAGAGGCCAAGGCCGGCCCAGGCTGCTAAAACTGAGCTAAACAGGAGAGAGAAGGGGGGGGCTGGAAGAGGGGCCCATCAGCCTGTTGAGCTCAGAGTTCTCCATAGGACCCTCCACTCCACAGGCCCCCCCCTTCCCCGAGGGGTCAGAAATCCACAAGCCAAAGTGGGGCAGGCGCCCCCTAGCTGCCACCAATGTGAAGGGAGTCACTCCCAGGAGGAAATGTCCCATGATCCTTTGCTCCTGGGCACTTGGGTACAACTACAAAGCCACCTGCCTTCTGTCCAGCCCATGGGGGTGGGAATTTCTGATGGGAACAAGCTAGGGAGGAACTAAGATCCTGAGCCCCCTCTCCCAAAGATCCACCTTGCTAATCTTCTATTGTCCAGCCTGGAGTAGAGCCCAGAGACAGCAGGGCAAAGAGTCCCTGTGGGGGAGAGAGATCTTGGCTCGGCCCCATGGGAGCGGCAGGGAGGGCTCCAAGCCTGGGCCACGTGCCCGCCCTCCTGCTCCCACACTCCGCTGGCTACGTCCTGGTGTCCAGGTTGTTCATGTACTCCTGCAGGGCCTGCAGCCGGGCGTCGATCTCGGACAGGTCGGCCGATGGCTCATCATACAGGTTCTCTGTCGGAGGAGACGAACATTCGTCGGCTGGGCCCTGCCCCGCACTCTAGTCCCCGGTCCCCTGGCCAGCCGGGACCACGAGCGCCACAGCCACAGGAGTGGGGAACTGCTCAACAGGGGACCTCTCTCCAGCCCTGTGAGCAGGATCAGAGGGCTCAAGGCCGGGCGGAGGGGAGCCAAGTATGGAGAGGGAACTTCTGAGGGAGGAGAGGTTGTGGGGGAAGACAGGGCACGTGTGCAGGGATCGAAGAAACCATCATCTGCAGAGAACCTTGGGCTGCTCCAGGAGGATTTGCCTGCTGCTGAAATGCAGCCACCTCTGGGGCGGAGTGTGGCAGCTGTTTATATCGGGGGTGGGAGTGAAAGTAGCTTGTCCAGCGAAGCTCCAGGGCAAATGGAATTTGGCAGCACACGGGGGTTAAGAGCCCGGCTCATGGGAAAAGGGCCAGAGGCCTCAGTAACCGTGGTGGGGACGAACTGAGTGACATGAGGCATCCAGATGACAGCAGCAACTGCTAGTGCCATGACAGGGCACTGGGGTCGGCACTGACTGCAAGGGGAGAGCGCCCCCTGCTGGGCCCACACTGCAGCACAGCCCTCTTCCTAACCAGCTCACCTTTATCCGCTCGCTTGCTCGCGGTGGGGGTGCTGGCCAGGCGTTTCCTGCGCCCGGCATCCGCTCGAGGAGCCTGCAGGGAGAGGAGAAAGCTGCAGGGTCGTCTCCTCTGGGCTGCCCAGCTGGGTCCCCCCGGCCTGTCCCCGTCCCAGCCAGCGCCACTCTTCAGCCAGCAATTAACAGGGCTATCGGAGACGCTGACTGGGACAGAGTCCTGTTCCCTGCTGACACGTTTATTCCCAGGGTGCAGGGGAAACGGGACACCTGGGCTCTGGACCACAGCAAGTCAGCGGCAGAGGTGGGAACAGCCTCCAGCTGTCCTGGCTCCCAGCCCCCCTGCTCTAACCACTAGACCCCACTCCCCTCCCAGAGCTAGGGATAGAACCCAGGAGTCCTGGCCCCCTGATCTAACCATGCGACCCCACTCCGCTCCTAGAGCTGAGGATAGACCCCAGGAGTCCAGGCACCCAACCCCTGCTTTAACCACTAGGCCCCTCCCTCATCACAGCCCCTTCCCTTCCCCTCGGTCTCCATTTCCCAGACTCTCCCCGTGCTCTCTGACGGTCCAGGTCATTTAGCACTGAAGGCAGAGGCGCTGCCTTGAGGCAGCTGGGTGGGGTGGGAGACCCCGGCGACCCCCCACGGCCCCAGCCTCTCCCAGCCGGCAGCGACTTGGAGCACTGAGCCGGCTTCTTGCAGGAGGGGAAGGGAACCCTTTGTCTCCGCGTGGCCCCCCTCTGGCTGGAGCACCCCATGGAGCAGTGAGGAATCATGTCCCCAGCCAGTGGCTCTCAGCAGGGAGAGACCCAGGGGCTCCAGCATGGCCTTTGCCCCTACAGAGAACAGGCCACGCCGGCCCCGGGGGCAGCCACCTTCGCCTGACACACACGGAGATCTGGAGCAAGATGCCTGCTGCCCGGAGGGCCCCCCCGGCTGCAGCACGGCCCCTCCCCGATCCCCGGCTGCAGCAATCAGGGCTGGGCCCTGGCTAACCTCCCACCCAGGCTAGTTGAGAGGCGCCCTGACAAAGAACCACTTACCCCGCTGGGGCCGTTCCAGGAGGAGGAGCTCAAGGGCTTCCTGCCTCGGGGGGCCCGCCGCCTGCCCCTGCCGGAGAGAGGGAACAAGGCAGCGGTGATGGGGCAGCGCTCCGCCAGTTAGCGCCCTGCAGGCTCGGATCCTTGCTCCCGTGGCTAGCAGGGGTGTGCTATGCTGGAGAGGCCAGGCACTTGTTCTGGGAGCCGTGCCGCTCAGACACCTCTCTATGCGGCACCAGGGCCCCACTGTGGCGGCTCCGGGGTAAGCCAGCTCCCGTGCCCCCAGGCGTCAATCTCTAGTCGCTGGCATCTCCGGAGTCCCCACAGCCACCAGCTCCCACCCCCCAGGAAGGCCTGGCGCACAGAGGACAGGCCCAGCTTCCAAGAGAGGCCTCCAACTGCGGGGGCCCACCCTCGGCGCCCCGAGCATGGCGTGCACACGTGCTGAGTGGCCTGCGCTCCAGCCGGAGGCAATGGGAGCTGTGGCTGCTCAATCCTCCAATAATCAGGCCCCAAATCAGAGATCACTTCTCAAAAGTTGGGTCAAAATGACTTGCCGAAGCAAGTAAGTGGCAGAAATGGGATAGAACCCAGGTGTCCTAGCTCCCAGCCCCCCTGCTCTCCCATCCCAGTAGAAGATTGTGATTTCGTTACCTTAGGGGTACTGGCTCGGAGTAATCATCTGCCTCGCTGCCCGAGCTTGCTGAAGAGCGCCGGCTGCGGAAGCTCTCCACTGTGGGAGTGGGAGACAGTAAAGGGGAGCTCAGTCCTTGGGGGGGTCCCCAAACCAGCATCCCTGCCCCCCAAACCCTCCCACACACAAACCACCGCACTCCTACAATGACCTCACTGGGGAAGCACGGACTCTCCCAACACCTGCTCCAGCCTTGATCAGCTGGTCCCCGGAGAAGGGATGGCCCAGGGGCTGGGGGACGTGGCCATGGGGCTCCCAGGCAGTGGCAAGCCCAACACAATAACCCACCCCGGAGACATTTCCGGTCCCAGGACGTACCCGACGAGCTGCGTCCGCGACTCCTGCCCAGGCTGTCTCCGCTGAAGGCTGCCAGGCCCCGGGAGTTGGAGCGGCCCCAGCTGCCGGGCGGCGCATCACCGGCGCCACGCCGGACCCGTCGCTGGCTGCGCCCAAGGGAAGAGGGTTATGCACAGAAGCAGGCATCTCGCGACCTGAAGGTTCCTTGCCAAAACAGGCTGCCCGCCCCTGAAACGCAGCCACCTCTTGGGTGCAGCGCAGCAGCAGGCATGCAGCTCGTGGCAGGAAGGGAAGGGACACCACAGGGGGACCGGAGGGAAGCAGGGGACTGGGACCCCGAGGCTGACGCCCCCGCCCTTGCTAAACAGGCCGGGATCCTTAAATGGGCCTTGGGGCTCCAAGATCTCGGTGAGTTTCAGATACCACCTGGCGTTCCTGCCACTGGAGCCGTGTCAATGCCTCCTGATTAACCCTTGTGGCTCCAACACCCTGCCTCCCCAAGGATCGCGGAAGGGCTCAGATTCGGGGAGGGGGGACGTGCCCACCAGAGCGCTGGCAGAAGTCCGCTTCCCAGGCAGCACAGGGGCCACTGAACGCGGCAGCTAGAGGTGGAAACACGTGGCCCCGTACATCCCCCAGGGACACCCTGATCTTCGGGGGGTGGAGGGGAGGAACTTACTTTTTCAGTTCGGCCTCCTTCTGCTTCCGCTCTTTGGCCTTCACAAAGGCCGTGGGGTCGAAGCGCGGCGGCCGGGTGCCTGGGAAAGGGGAGACCGGCAGCGGGGTCAAGGGCGGGGGTTGCTGCTGCCACACCTGGGATCTTCCCCGCCCCTCCAAACTGTTCAGGATTCAGCTGCAGGGACTGGAATGGGGGGGAAGGGGATTGCTACCTCCCTCACATCACTGCATGTGACCAAGGTTCTCACCTTGCCTGGAGACATCTCTGTCGGAGACAGGGCACTCCCACAGTGCTCAAGGCCAACCTAGGGTCCCCAGGCCCTGTGATCTGGGCAGAGAACCTGCCCAATGGCTCCTCTTCTACCCCCTCACCTGTGGGTGATGGTGACTGGCGAGGGAGGCGGGTCTGGCTCCCGCCGCGCCCTTCTCTGGACGTGGAGCGTGGCCGGTTCATCGGCCAGGCCCCGCCACGCTCCCGGGAGTTGGAGCGCTCCCCAGAGGTGGAGCGCCTCTCCTCTCGGGCCATGGCCGCAGCGCTGCTCCGGCCTGGGGCAGCGTGACTGAAGCCGCGGGAGGATGCCGATCGGTTCTGAGGGGATGGGCCGGTGGGGGTCAAGCGCCTGGAAAAACAGGAGGGAGCAGTCAGTCCTGGACGTGAAGGACACAGGGGCCCGTTCGGGTCATCCAATCTGGCCTCCTGCATCACACTGGCCACAGAATCCCCCCAGGTATCCCTGCATCCAGCCCAGATCTGACAGTCGAGCTAGAGCAGAGATGTCCACTGTCTCCAAGCCCCGGAGCACTCCCTATCCCCAACACGGGGTCAGTCGTTCCAATGGTCAATTCCCCTCCCCGTTAAACACTGGCGCCTTATTTCAAGCCTGAATCTGTCTAGCTTCAGCTCCAGCCATTGATCTTGTTCTGCCTTTGTCTGCTGGACTGAAGAGCCTCCGCTCTCAGAAAGTCCCCCTGTGCCACAGGTTCACTGCTCTGTGCAGGCAGCTCTCGCCAGCCCTGACAAACTCACTGCACAGACCAGGTGATCTGTATCTAACTGGTGCCATGGGAGGTACCACTCACAAACTGGTAACACGCTGGCCCTGAAAACCAGGGTGTGGTGGGGGAACGAAGGGTTATCAAAGTGCATTAGAACGTCCCGAAAAGGTGTTTGGCGAGCAATGCGTAAGCCCAATCTGCCCTAAGACAAAGGAACGTGTATTTGTTGTCTGACCAGCCTGGTGGCCAGGCAGAGGCAACACACGTTCATATACATATGAGGTAAACAAAGCTAACGAGCAGGGAGAAGACAGCCTGGCATCTATGCCCCAGCAGAGAAACGGTGTCTGGGCTTACTCTGCGAAGAGCAGGTTCCCAAGGGTTACTGGCTCTAACAAGAGCGGGAGAGAACCTGGGCAGCCAGGCTGAAGGAAGATGGGTGAGAAAACTTCTTGAACAAAGGACTTTAGTTGCTTAAGTTAGACTGAAGTCTTAGAAGCGTATTTTTACTTCTGTTTCTTTGGAACCATTTGTGTCTTTGCCTTATACTTGGTATCACTTAAACCTGTGTCCTTTTCTTAATCCACTTGTTTTACTTTTCCTATAACCCCAGCTCAGAGCTTGGATTGAAACAGAGGGTTTGTTAACCCCAGTAAGGTAACAAGCAGCTGTGTAAGGTTTTGTGAGCATACCAGTAAGGAGGAAAGGGGGCGCTGCAGAGAGACATCTCTGAGGAACCTGGGAATGGGGGTTCACTGGCAGAGCCCGGGTGAGTTTGCTGGCAGGGCAGAGATGCCAGTGTGCCAGGGAGCAAACACAGTTTAGCAGCAGCAAAACTCCCACTTGCTGAGGCCGAGAGGGATAGCACAGTAACTCACAGCTCTGGGAACCCCAGCGGCTCGTCACACCTGCCCAGGGAGGTGCTGACAAATGGGGATTGCGTCACCTCTGAACCGTCTCGGGGATAAACTAAACAGATCCAGCACCTTCCGTCTCATGCTCACAGGCAGGTTTCCCAGCCCTCGGCTCGTTCTCATGGCGCTTTCCGAATCCTGTCTAATTTTTGGATGTGTGGACACCAGAACGGGACCCGTGCTCCAGGGATGGGCTCTCTAATGCTGGATACAGACATAGCACTACCGCCCCACTCCTCCTCAATATCCCCCCGCTTATACCGCCAAGGGTCACGCTCCCCGCTTAGCCCCAGCATCGCCCTGAGAGTTCCTGGTTAGCTGGTTCCCACCATGGCCCCTTGATGCTTTTCAGGGTGACTGCTTTCCAGGACACAATCCCCCAGCTCACAAGCGTGACCTACATTCTGTGTCCCTAGGTGCCATCAAAAAGATGCAACCACGAGGGCTGGCTCTGCCCTGCAGAAGCCCCACTGACCCTTCAAGACGGCCGTGGGTAAGGACTGATGTCCACCATCCTCCTTCCCCTGTCCCCTACCAGGAGATCTCAAGTTTCAGGACATATTACGATCCCTGCAGAGTGCGGGAAGGAATCTTCCAGCATTACCCAATTAGCCAGATGCATTATGGGGGTTTGAGCCTTCCTCTGTAGTATCAGCGATCCGCCAATACCAGGGGACCAGTATTTTAAGACCAATGGGCAAAACCTGGGCTCAAGTGTCAACAGAGGGGCCGGGATCCTTAGACAGGTGAATGAAAAGCATCTGCTTCAACCCCGCCTAGAGTACTGATCCAGCCTACAGCAGCTGGCATCCCTCACCCTTTCTTGTATAAGGCCAGCTCATTGGTCAGACTCTTCACTCGGACACGGAGGCTCCTCTCCGATGCTTTCACCTCCGCCAGCTGCAAGGAAGGGGAAGAAATCTCACTGCTTCAGTGGCCGGACATGCTCTGGAACGGGCCCAGGAAATCGACCCAGCAGACAGTCTTGCAGCCCAGCCAGACAATGGAATCTGGGCAGGGCTACATAACTGCCAGCAACATTCCCCTTCACTTCCTGACCTCAACTGGGGTGCCATGGTGTTGTGTTAAACAGCTGCCATGTTCCACCCCAGAGGTGGCTGCATTTCAGGGGTGGGCAAGTGAGCCCTGTATAGAGAGCCAAGGGCTTTGGGATCTTCGGGTGTACGGTGCTATGTAAGATCTCAGGGTAATAATTATTACTAAGGCTGTCAAACGATTACAAAAATTAATCGCAGTTTTAATCCCACTGTTAAACAATAATAGAATACCACTTATTTCAATATCTGTGGATGTTTTCTACACTTTCAAATATATAGATTTCAGTTCCAACCCAGAATACAAAGTGCTCACTTGATATTATTTTTGATTACAAATATTTGCACTGTAAAAAAAATAATCCCAGCCCCCCTGCTCTAACCCCACTTCCCTCCCGGAGCTGGAGCT